TCTCGGTTCGTCTTGTTTTGCTTTATTTTGCTTTGAATGGTTTAGATAAACGCGGTACGCTAAAGACCAAAGTGACTTCACTCTCTGTATTGCTAGTTTTTAAGTTTAAACACGTTTGAAGGATTTCGGAAATTTAATCCTTTAGCTACCAGAATTGATTAACAAGTAACTTCTCCCTATGATATCCATACATTATCCAGCAAACAGGTCATGAGAATACTCAAACTAATCAGGAAGGAGTTGTTACTTTGATCTAACGCCAAATTCTCGTCGCCAATTTACAAGGAAATGTGTAGCAGCTAGAGGGGAGAATTAGCGATCTGATCTTGGGATTTGAAGGGTTAAAATGTAGCCTTTCGAGTTCATGTTCTTCATTTCATGCATTTTTGCCGTTATTCTCTATCACGAGTTATCCGCTTGCTTTTTTGTTTGTTTGTTTGTTGTTTTCTGTTTTCGATGATTTAAATATCAGTGGTGTTCGTCTTGCTTCGTAGACTATTTTCCTAAAATTGCAATGTTCTTGCTCAAGCAAGCTAATTTCCCTTTGCGATGCAAAATTTGCTGCAACATATTCCAAATTTTAAAATCCCAATAAGAGTAATAATAATCATCATCATCATCACCACCATCATCATCATCATCATCATAATGTGCATTTCAGGGGCCTATATTTCCAAATTTCTAATCTTTAGACTGCCCAGGCCCTTGTAAGTGCCGTCCTTGGGGGGGACGAGAAAACCTGCAGCATGTGGATTGCTCTGGAAAAGAATTAGTGTCGTTCTCATGGAAGATTCCAGTCACCACAGGCAAGCTGTGAGTAGAAAAGAGGATCAATTGCTGTTAATGAATATCCCTCAAAATATGTGAATAGAAAATATAGGCTCGTAAACATGTGATTGATTGTCAATAGGATGGAGACTAAGGCACCTTTCAATAGTGCTATCTAGAGAGATGTAATCATAATGAACACTCGAGTTGAAACGAAGGTTGCCAGTGGGTAAAGCTGCGATTAGACATCTTTCTTGACGCATAAAACTTTGTTAAAATAACATGGACTGCTAGGTCTAACTCAGGTCGTTTGGCTATCTGGGGTAGACGATTACAAAATGGTCAATAAGCTTTTGATAAAATTTTCAAAATATTTTGTAATACATTGGATTTTTAATCAAAATTACGTATCTAATTTGACGTCAACAATTTAAAAANNNNTTTATCTCCCTCTCTTACTTTCTCAACTTAACTCGTTTGGAAAAGAATTTTGTAGTAGCTGACAGTTTTATAGAGAAATCGTTGTTTAAAGAAAATCCAAATTATTTTTTAACTTGAGGGGCAATGATAAGAATGGTGCAATTTTGACATGATAATTGGATTCGAATGATGACAATAAAATGGTTCGACTTCCCCACAGGGATGTGCAAGCTATTTGAAAATTTTGGAGCTGTACTGGTTTTACCTTTCCCCCTCTGTCCTTTTTCTTTCCCTCTCTGTTTACGAAACGTATATGTGCACGAAGGATCGTGCACATATACGTTTCATAACCGCAGTTCATATATATGTATTTCATATGTTTGTTGTTTAAACCTGAACGAGTTAGGAAACGCTGTTTATCGAATGACCGAGATCTGTACAACGTTTGGCGTTCTTCATTAGAGTGTACCCACCAACAGCGCTGCAAATAATTCAGTCGTTGGCCTGACGAGTATTTTAGACGATATACGAACACATCATCTTTGTACGAGACTCAAAGGTTTAAATACAGAGAGTGCCTGTTCTTCTGAATACCGATGCCCAGAGAGCAGCAGCGGCGAAAAAGGTCGTCCTCTTTTTGAAATTATGAAGGATCAACTGGAATCATTGCGAAGTAAACACTTTTGCTCGGCTAGAATCGCTAAATTACTAAGAATTTCTGAGAGAACTCTTAGAAGACGAAGAGAGGAATTTGGAATCTGTCACGAGTTCGATGTTTGAGTGGCAGGTGATTTGTAGTCATAACAGAACGCAGGGTTATCGGAACATCAACAAGAAGCTAAGGTTTATTCCAAAATGAACGTAGTTTCACTTGATTAACTTTACACTAGCCCGTAACTCAGTAAACTTTCACGGTCTCCGCGCATTCGCCAACTTCGATCAACTTGAAAATATTCACGCCCTCCGCCAAATTCAAGAAACACTGCTTAGTCACACTTGCTTGAATGCGAATGATCAGTACCAACTCTCATCGCTGTGAAAACTAAGTTCAAGCTTCGCGTAACCTGTCCTAGTAAAATACTTACGTGATAAAGTTCTAGAACTTTCTAAAAAAGGTCTAATTAAAGCAACATTACAAAATATCCCAATTTTAGAAACGATTACATAATTGACTAAAATAAACAAGCCATAATCTTTCGAGAACCTTCCAGAGGGTCATGCATGTCACGCAACATTATTTTTCGTAACGGACTCGAAACGGACGGTTTTACTGGGATTTCAGAGAGCAACCTCACAGCTGTCGTTGAATCAGTGAAATCGCTTACTCGGCTCCCAATATTGGCCTGAGTCGCATGGTAGGTGCATTGAGGAGCAGCGGTCTGCATGTGCAGCGCTGGAGGGTCCGCGAAATAATGAGGAAAATAGACTGAATTATTTGCAGCGCTGTTGGTGGGTACACTCTGATGAAGAACGCCAAACGTTGTACAGATCTCGGTCATTCGATCAACAGCGTTTTCTAAGTCGTA